ACCACAGTCTACTGTGTTTGCTCTGTGTTCAAGTTCAGGAGATGACTTATTGACATACTACATACATGAAAGCAATTGCTACATTGTACTGCTTCTGTACAGGTACAAAGAAATACACGCACCCCGTAGGTGTTTTTCTAGCAAGAATACACGTGGGCCTATAAATTACACTCACATGTACTGATATGTTCACCTCTTTCTAGGGCTATTGAAATAAGATTTGTTTCTCGTCAGCGCCTGCATGTGATTTAGGCTCCGCATCAAAATCAAAATCCAACTCCCAACATCAAAAGCCTAAGGTTCCGGCAATCCCTTGCAGTAATCAGCACACAAAAAAATCTGGAGCCCGGATGCCTGTTGGTACCTTGTCAGCCCAGTGTGGCAGCCAATAACTTTTAATGCATGTGAAAAGGATATTTTTTTCCATGACAGAAAGTAATGAATAAGGGGTAGTGAAAAAAAAAATCTAACTTTGAAAAAGCCCTGACAAGAAACACTAAATCAACTTTCATCGGCCTAGTCTCTGTACAGTGTATGTACAGTACATGTGCATTGGGATTTGCCCATTGAATGCTGCCAGGCATGCCTGGCAGTTGGTCCTTTCATTAATAGTGTTCAACAGGCTCGCATCAGATATGTTTGACTTTCTTTATGTGCAACTGTAATATGCCTTTGAAAGAGTGAGTGGGTGTTAGCAGTAGAGACCAAGGTGACTTGCTGACTGGTTGATCAAAAAAAGTGAGTGGGCGTTACTAGCAAAAAGGAATGCAATGTTTTTCAGCTACTGGTACTAGTCGTTTTTTGCAACTTGCAGGTACATGTATATATGCGCTTTTATCAGTGTTTATGCAGGAAACATCAGAAGTGCACACATGCAATTATAAATAGGGAATAAATACATGTACATGCTTGGCCGGTCTTACTGTACGGTACATTGTAAATGTCCATTCTCCTGAGCTGGCCTCAAATGATGTTTGAGACCGGTCAAGCTCATTCATGAATTTATTCCCGTTTCACATTCATAAATACCTTTTTGGTCACAAAATCAAAACAAGTCTGAAAAATGATAAATTTCCAATGATTTTTTCAATGATTTTATTTGGTTTTTCAAAACACCCCTCTAGCCATATTATGGTTCTCAAACATGTACGTATACCAGGTATGTTGTCAGTATTATTTACAAACCGTCTCCTTACATGTGTAATATGTGCATACATGTGTGGTGCATTCTGCATGAGGGGGCAGGCGGATTGTGCTTTATCTACCATAAGCACACGTACATGTGTATATAGTACATGTACATGTATGACCAGCTATGGCACATGTATGTATATGAGGGGCTGTCAACCAATTGGAATGGCTTAACTCTGTTTAAGTACATGTATTTACAAATGTGTGATGATAATAATATAAACTTCAGTTACGTATTGTAGCAGTACATGTACATGTATGTACATGTAAGCACTGCCTGTATGTTGGATGTACATGTACTTTTACTTGTACTTACTTTGCTTGGACAAAGTTTACAGTGTGCAGTGTTATGACTTAAAGCTCACAGACGGTGTGAGTTTTGGGCCAATTTCACTCACCATGGTTGGAGTTTTCAATCCATTGTAAACAATTGTGAACAACCAACCTACCCATACCATAGTACTGGTACTTGTAGCCTTAAACTAGTTACAGTCAACAGAAAAATCAATTTGTCCCCCCCCCATTTTTTTGTACAAAAATTAGCAGCCATGTAGGACAGTATCTTTGAAAGCTGCAGTTACATGTAGCACTACTGATGGCTTGACATGACTGATTTGAAGAGTACATGTACAGTGAACCTCCAAATAAAATATGTTTTCTCTGAATTTTACCTGTTTAAATAAATATGGAAGTGTCCAAACCAAGTGCAAAGTTTGTCTTTACAATCAACTAAAAAACTTTTTTTAAGGGTTTTTTTTTATGCGCACCAAGACGCAAAATTCTGAAAAACGTAAAGGTCAGCCGTTTGTTAATACAGTTGAGGGGAGTACAGAAATGAAGGCAGCCCAAACACGCACAAGCACAAGTCACGCACACATGCAGGACCTACCACAATTTTTTCACACGGGACGGAATAGCAGGAAAAGAACTTAGTCTGGTATCCATGAATTGATAATCTGCAGTGAGGATTTGTTTATAGATATAGATACGACAGTTTGTTTCATTTTGCAAGTCGACCCCTTGCTTGTTGAGTGAGGGAGTATATACACATGGGAATTATGCATCTTTGCATCCTGTATATACATACAATACATTCCAGCCTAAGCCACACTCTTCTTGAGATCCATGTACATGTACGTCCGGATCGGAAATTAATTATGGCAGAATCTGACAATATTTGGAGAGAATCAAGAGAGTATTCATAGGAACTTAACAATGAGGATTTCCAAGGCATTTCACTGGCCTCAACTTTTGATGACGACTCGCCCGACTCCCAGTCAGACAACGAAGGGAATGCTGAGGAACCGATCATTCGTGGCGAAGAGCCATACCTCTTTGATCCTGAGGCCCCCCGTCGCAGTGGATGGACATGGCTCACGGTCACAGAGTAAATCCCACGCAGACAGTATACAGTTTATTCATAAACAAAGTGCTCTAAAGACCTTTGAAGAAACAATTTCTCAATACCTGTACAGTGATTATAGAGTAACCCATCCCACCCTAGCCCTGTCTCTTTTCCGAAACACTTCTCCGGACATGCCAGATTGCTGCCGTCTCGCTGCCGTGTCGAACTAGAAGTCAGAACATTTGCAACAATATTGGGACAAAGCCTTCCTTCAGTTGAAAGTGAGATTAGATTTCAAACCCAACTGAGTCTTCAGTAGATGTATGGCTGATTCATCAGCACAATTTTCTGTAATTGAATGTTCACTGCACCATGATCAAAGACCACTTGGTCAACTTGAAATCTGACTGCGTTTGATGTGTTTGACAAAGTGGACCCACTTTCTGCATGTCTTCAAACCCCTTTTTGGAAACCTCAGAAAATTAACTTTGGAGTTTTAAGGCAATTCCAAGAACATCCACTGACCATGCAGGACTTCAGCATGTTAATTATTTCGATCAATCCACCGAGACACAACATAATGTTGGTAAAATACCAGTAGCTAAGTATATTCCTTACTTACACAAGTCCACATACATGTACACATGCACAGTAAGAAATATCAAATACCGATACTGTTCAAACCGTGTAAAGCTTTTGCTGCATTTGGCTGTATCAGTAGTTTGCTGTTATACATGTACATGTATTTACCTTTTTGAAAGTCCAAATTTTACGCATGAAAATAAATGATTTAAATAACCCTAGGTCCTTTTCATAGGATACAACCTTAATCTTTCAAAATCCTCCGATATTTCTTGAAAATGCTCTGCTGAGGGGTGCCCACTACATGTACCTTAATCCTTCAAAATCATCCGACAATTCCTCACGCTATGTTAAGGCAGAGTGAATGGTATCCCGGAGCAATATTGAAGATTTCACATAATGATATAATGTACATGTACATGTAGGTATGACTTTATGCATAGCTGAACGTAAACAACACAAGGTCCAACCCACAACCTTGAGCAGTGCATCCTTTGCAATTAGGAATGCAATTTTGCCATGCAGCCTCAATCCTCCAAAATCCTCCAAAACTGCCCAATGGAATTTGAAGGAATGGTTGTGCTGTGTGCCGGCAGTCAAATTTTCAATTACGACTAGTCAAATCTGAATTTTTTGAGGATGTGTACATACCGGTACATGAAAACCTGTCATTTACAACACTGTATAATCCACTTACTTTTGACAAGAGCTACACAGGTACGTGTACCAGTACATGTCTGCGTATACACTTTTCATACATGTACATGTACTGTACTGTATGAAATTCCGTTGGTTCTAATTTACCTCATAATCCATCCATTTTCAGCAAGAGCTGCATATGTATGTACATGTATGTATGTACTGATACTTATACATGTACAGTACATAAAGCCTATCCATCCAATGTGGAGTGAAGTATTGTATCAGTACACAGGCTTCCTGTCACAGTGAGTAATCAGTGCTAATAATTGTTCCATGCAGCTGCTCTACATGTTTGCTATCATGCAAAGAATCCACAGGCTTAGGCCTACTGTCATCAACCCAGGATGCACGCCTTGCCTTGCCTTGACGAGTGAACAGGATACCTTTCTATAAGATGACACTCCAAAAATGGCTATGGAATGGAATGCGGCTCAGTTCGTTCATTCCTACATGTACATGTACTGTACACGGGAGTTTTAATCATCTGGCTGAGATTGTTGGTAGTGCCTCTGGCAGGACTTCATCTGTCCAAATTGCCTGAGCATTGGAGAACAAAATTAATTTACATGTAATCATCATCCAATCACAGTATATCAGTATTTCTTAGAATGAAAGAGTGGTTTTAAAAACTTTCCTTTATGCTTAGAAGCATATGGTTAATGATTAGTTGCTGTTTGTACACGTATGTATTTGTATACAAGGTATATTGTTTTTGCAGAAATTGTCCTATATTTTAACTTAAAATTACTCATTATCAGATAACATTAAAATGCATTGATGAATGTTAAAATTGAATGAAACTCCAAATTTTTTACAAATGAAGAAAAGGTACCGGTAAGCATTTCCACCCTTTTTTCAGTGACCAGTAAGAACACAAACAAAATTTGATTAGTTGTTGCCTTTATGGTTGTATGGCGCAGTGTGTGAAAGGTAAACTGTACATGTACATGCACCACAGGTACATGTACTGTACATGTAGCTGGCTGCATGACTATTAAAGTTTATATTAGTAATGGGAAAGCATTTAGAAAAAGGAGAATCTATAAAAAGTGAAATGTACGTGTATTATGACTTCTCTAAAACTGCAAGCGCACCTTAAGTTTATAGGATCATGTGCATAAATGTGGTGTCACTCCAGTAATGACCAGGAAATAACCCTTGATCTCTCCACACTCAACAGGAACTCTGCCAAGACCCCAAGTTGTTTGTGGGAGGGGCCAGTCGGTTTGACATTGAACAGGGACAGCTTGGTAAGAAATCTTCATTTGCATCATAATATGCAGAAATCAGTTTGGTTTTTTTCTTCTTAACTTTATAGACAAAAAGGCATTTTGCGTTCCATCTCTTTGCCAACCAAATTGCAGTTAAAACCCTTTGGACAAATTTTTTACTGAATGGGATAAAAAGTCCCATATATCATTCCAAAAAGTAGCCTCAAAAATTCGTAAGGCTTCTTAAGATCAGTTACCATAAGTTTAAACCCCCTCCGTGCAAAAGCGTAAGAATTTATGGAGAGAACTGGCCTTTGAGATACATGTACATACAGATTTGGTGAAGTTGTTTCTATCAAGGCTGTAAGTCCCCTTGCAATTGCAGGAAAACTTCACTCTTTATTGAACTCTTCCAAGGGCCCATTCAACTATGGTTCACCAAGCTTTCTAAGTTTCGTTTAATTCAAGAAATACGTGTATGTAATTAGTCTTCCGTTTGCTGCCGCGGTTTCATTGTTTCGCCATGAGGTACTAGCCCCGTCTCAAGGTGTCCATGCAGATTTAAAGACTAAATTCCCCACGTGTGCAACAGTCATATGTGTGAGTAAGAACTTGTTTGCGCCTTGATCTCATTGCTAGTACGGTGCGCGTGTGAACGGCCAATGTGTGTACACACAATGTACCGTACCGCACCGCTGCGCTGGGCCGGCTGCCACTGCATGCTTGAGGCTCACGCCCTCTGTAGCGCTTGCAAGTATCGGGACCGGCGTGGTGCGGACGACCCAATCATGTGGTAGAGTGGTGCAATTCAGCATCCAGCGTAATTTGTTCATTAAAAGCAAGCATTTGAAAAGAGTTTGGTACGCATTTACCCTTTTTTTTAGTACTTTGCCAAAAGTTTTCCTTTCTTTTTTAAGCCATTCTTAGAGGGAAATTTTGCAATTTCTGTTTCAAGCAGTGGATTCCGTTTCAAAGCGTTGATTCCGCGAATTCCCTCCATTTTCCGCGATCGCGGAAAATCATTGGCTCTACATATGCCATCATGCTATCACAATCCCAGCCAACTTGGCAGAGTCCATTCACGTCCCAGTACATGTATCTGCAAATCCCACCCAGGTGACTGCTGGTTTTTGGCCGCTCTGGCCTCACTGTCCCTGGACGACTACCTCCTGAAGAAAGTCTGCCCAGAGGATGACCAGGACTTTGGCCGCAATTACTGCGGGGCCTTCCGTTTCTACTTCTGGCAGTACGGCAAGTGGCAGGAGGTGGTGGTGGACGACCGCCTGCCCACCTACAATGGACAGTTGGTCTTCGTCCACTCCAGTGAGAAGAATGAGTTCTGGAGTGCTCTGCTGGAGAAGGCTTATGCCAAGTAAGTCTCATCGGTAGGATTTGGGTAAAATTTACATCCCCTCCCTTTCCTAGCAAAGGGAAATGAAAGTGCATAGGATAAGGGCTGCAGTACCCCTGGTTGTACCTGTGCTGAAATAATTTTCTCTGTATTCCTCTCTAACTCTCGTTAGAGAGTTAACTAAGTAGGACCTGGCATGCAGGATTTAAGCTGTCCTCGTTCTCTACCAGAGGCATTCAAAGGACTCCCTGTCATATATTCACATACAGGCAGAAATCTTGTGTGAACTGCTTGAACATAGATGTACATGTACATGTAGTCAACAATCACCAGTGCAGTACTTCTCTTCAGGTTCTGTGCGGAGCAGTACATGGGGTGAAAGGCCTGAGCCAGTGAGGTCACAGGCTTTTGAGGGGAGGATCACCCACCCTTTATTAAATGGTCTTTATTTACACCCGTGAAAGGTCATAGTATTTAAACTTTTGCTTGTACATTTGTTTGTCTACCTGTGACTAGCACACTAGTTTTAGCAATTCCATTTCTGTCCAGACCCCATCTCTGAGTATCTACCTGATTCCAGAGTTCACCTTCTGTGATGTACCACCTGTTGTTTTATTTTCCTTCTGCAGATTACACAGCAGCTACGAGGCCCTGAAAGGCGGCAACACTTTGGAGGCCATGGAGGACTTCACCGGTGGGTTTTCCGAGTCTCATGACCTGAAGAAAGCCCCTAAGAACCTGTTCAAGATCATGTTTGATGCCTACAACCATGACTCCCAGATGGGCTGCTCCATTGACGCCAACCCGAACGAGATCGAGGCCAAACTTGATAATGGACTGATCAAGGGCCATGCATACACCATCACAGATGTCAGAAGGGTAAGGCAGTGGATTCACACACATGCACCTCATTACCTTTTTCTTTTTGACTTGGGATCCTGGCCAATGGCACAGTATCGTTCTCCCTGAATTCCCAGCTTTGAAATGGGGGACAAGGAAAAAAGTCTTATCGTGTGGAAAATGGAAGGAAAATCTGGAGTGACTCTTGAGCTGAAATTCATGCATTCATGTTTGAATACAAAAATACCAGAACATGAACTTGTGTGATTATTTGAGAAAAGGTACAGAGACCGTAAAGTTAAATGACTAAAGCTCTAATCACGGCACAGAGTGAAGATTACTGGTCTCATCCTTACTTGATTTCCTCTATAAGTATGCAAGAACATCGTGAATTTTGCTCTTCACACATGTTTGAAGGTGGCGATTCCTGGATATGGCTCCACCAAGCCAGTACGTCTCATCCGCATCCGTAATCCCTGGGGGCAGAAAGAGTGGAATGGCCGCTGGAGTGACAAGTAAGTCCAAAAAAGAGTTCCTGAGTTCACTTGGAGAATCTGGTTGTCATTTCAGTGTGGTAGGAAGGACTGCATTTTGAGTTTTACTCAGTTGCATGTAATTTTAAAAGTTAAAAGCAAGCTTGTAAGATTATGAACCACAATATTGATCTAGATGAAGTATTACAGACCGAGTACTTGTAAAAGCTCAATCTACATGTATCATAGACAACGTGTCCCATCCTCTGAATCACAATTATATTAAACTTAGAAGCGGAACACGATGGAAATGATTTAAAGCTAGATCATCTTGATATGCAAACTCCTTCGTATCATTCTCCATCAGACAAATGATTGAGAACTTATTCCAGATCTCTTGGTTCTAAATGAAATGAATTAGAGTAATAGCAGCGGATAAGTGATAATGTATTACACATCCACAGTTTTTTGTTAAACTGTATTTATTATTCATTCATTGTTTATGGATGCCTGTATCCTGTGTTAATATGTACTTTGTTTAAAGAGCCGAAATCTATGTCAGTAATGCAAATTTTCTGCAGGATAAATTTGAATTTGAAATTTTGAATTTGAAATAGTTTTGGATGTTGTTACTTCTGACAAGGAAACAAACTGAATACTGCAGATCGTACCTTCTCACTAACGTTATTTCCTAATGGCCTTATAAAACTAGAGATCAATAGTGTACCCATCCTTGCACCTGTTCGCTTTGCCATTTGGCCAATTTAAGCCCTTTGATTATTGATCAAAAAGTGGGATCCAATATTAGCTGGGGGTTTGTGCTGCACTTTGTTGTTATGCTCTGATTAGACAGGCTCATAAGGTTATCCTAGGTACTGTATTAGCTGTGGGATGGGTTAGCACTAGTCAGTGTTTGCTAAGCTGTGGCTTGTTTTATCACTCATTCTGTGTTGCAGCTCCTCTGAATGGAGGAGCATTCCAGACAGCGAGCGCAGGAGACTTGGCCTGGTGACTGAAGATGACGGTGAATTTTGGTAAGTGGAATATGTCTCCTTTGTTTTCTCCCTTTTCTGTCTTGTACTGATACATTCAGCAATAGGGGTTATATATTGCAATGGTACAGTAAATGTGATGTGTAAACACCACAGTACCAAAATCTACCTTACTCCATTTGGATCCTAATTTTGACAAAAACAAAACACCCAAATTTGTAGAAAACATCTGATCACCCCTTCAAAGATAGAGTAAACAACGGCTTATTCTGAACATAACCACACTACCTTTCATTGGACTAGAGAATCTAAGAAAGACCCCTGTATAAACGCCAATGTCTTTATAGTCCCCGAAAAAGCCTACCCAAATGTGTGGGAAGGTTTTTGGTGCTACTATTTGTGCATACCTTCGATTTGGACTACTGCAAAGGTAGAAATATCTTGCACAGCTATTGATACAATCTCAGAAGTTATTGAGGTATTGTATGATCCCATATGCATCATCGGGTCTATAGAGTAATTGAGTTAGTGGTACGTGTATCTCCCAAGTTGAAAGAGTTGGTCATTCAGTCTATATTTTTTTGGCTGAAATAATTCACTGATTTTGATTGTCTTCCCGTCAGGATGGAGTACACCGATTTCATTCGTGAGTACAATCGCGTGGATATCTGCCATCTGGATCCTACCAAGGCCCCAGGCGGGAAGAGGAAGTCCAAGAAGTGGGTGACCAACGAGATTGATGGCCGCTGGCAGAAACACACTTCAGCAGGTGGCTGCCGTAACTTCCCAGGTATGGAGTACCCCTGCACTGCCTTTGTATGTTGAGCCAACAACATCTATTCAATTTGACCTTCTCAGATTCTTCAACATCTACTGAGAGGTTCTTTATGGACTTCTTGACATAATTGAGGAGTATTCTTTAGACAGAGCACAATGATCCTTGAAAGTTAACCTGCATTGAGTTCCTACACAATGGAAGATGTTGGAGTATTGAGTAACCTTCAAGGTTTCTAACTGAAAGACCCTGGGGAATTGCATTTAATGAAATGCTGAAGTACTGTGTGAGGTGACAAGCTGTCCTTCTTCAGCTTGCCTGAATGTGTTTACCATTTTGCTGTATGGGAGAAGGTGTCTCTAGTGTGTGCACTGAAATTGACAGTAGCAACATTGTTGAATAACTTTGGTTCAGCGTTATGGCTACTGTAATCCTGGCGCTCACAAATTGTAAAGATGATGTGGATCTGTTGCACATCCTCTCTAAAATAACGTTCTGAATTTCTTCCCCCCTCCCCCCCGTGACCCACACCCGAGCAGACACCTTCTGGGTCAACCCCCAGATTGAGATGAAACTCAGTGAAATTGACGATGACGACGATGATGACGATGACGATGACAGTCCTGCCGCCAAACAGAAGGGCTGCACTGTTATGATTGGACTGATGCAAAAGCACAGGCGCAAGCAGATGAAGATGGGGGTTGGCAACCTGACCATTGGATTTGCCATCTACGAGGTGAGGAACCAGTCTCTGGAGTTGCTTTTGACCGGGGGGGGTTAGATGTAGAGCCAATGATTTCCCGTTTCAAGAATGGGTATGTTCTATTTTGCCAAATCCTGTATTCCGCTGATGTTACAGCAGGATTCAACCTTATTACTGGTTCACTAGCCACATTCTACAGTAGTCAAGATCCTAGAAGTCTAGACAAATTCTTTTCTCAATAGTCCCGGCATCTAGTGAAAACTAGTATGCGTATCAGATGAGCTAGTGTTTGTGTCTGCAGGATAAGGTGGGGCAAATTAAACATTGTCGATATATCGATATTATCGATATGGGTTTACATCGATATCGCCAGTGTTAGTTATTTGGTAATATTGATATATCAAAAATATTGGGTTTTGGAGAAATATCAAAACTATTGAAATCTCGAACTTTATTAAAAAATACAAAAGTATTACCATAATTTTTGATAAGCTACATGTACGGCTGACTTTGGTTCTCACGCTGAGTGAAAAATGGCCCTGTAGCTCATACTCCAGGCGGCTTATACCGAGACATTTGAAGAATAAACTCAGTCACCTATCTCAGTCTCACACTCACTTTGCCACGAAAATATCCTCCAAAAAAATAGAATTATTTGCTAACCAAATGTACGTAGACTAGCACCACGTGCTGATGATATCACTATGCACGGCAGTGTGTATCCCATCCCATATAGGCAAAGCACGCAATACAGGCACTAGAACATGTCGCCAAAGTGAATTGGATCACACTTATATTGTGTAGTGGTGTACCCTTAGAACAATTTACCAGCAGTTCACGCCTGTTACCCGGTATAATACCTTGAAAATTAAAATGAATAAAAATTTTTATATTGATAATATCAATATTTTTAAAAAAAGATTTATCGGTATCAGCAAAAATACGGTATCGACAGTGCCTAGGGCAAATCCGTGCTGGAGTCGACAAAATTGATTCCACACTCTCAAACACAAATAATCTGCTGACTTGGTGAAGAAACTGTGACGGTGATCGAGCCAACTCAAAGAACTTCAGGGCCGGATATTATTATTACATATTATTTTTATACCAGTGCCAGAGACATGCTTTGGGAACCAGTGTCCTGTGACTTTTCCCTAAAGATCCCTGAGTAGTTTGTGGTTTTATTTATACTTGTAGTAATCCCCTTCCTTGCCATTTTTCCGTGTTACACATTTGTGTAGTGTCTCAGCCTATTTGGCTGGACAAGTTCACCAATCTCATGCACTCTAACTTGGGGACAATTATTGGCAACATGTCGTTGATCTCCCAACTTGTTTATCTCGTGCTACACTTCTGCTGGTGCTGCAAGTCAGTGACAAAAACTTACATACTGTCTTTCTACAAGTGCAATTTGCTAAAACTATTGCTGTAGCCTGCTATTTTGGGGAAACTTAAGTGTAACATCAAGAACGAACGATACTACTTAAAAATTCATTTTCTATTGGGGTATATTTCTTTCAAAAAATTGTTCAAGACCAACATCATTCAAAAAAATTGATATACTCTAGTGGAATGTTTCTCAGACATCACAAAGATGCAAGAGATACGCTCAGAAGAGACTTTTCTGCCTCACATTTATTCTTCTTGCACCATGAGCACCGGAAAGAACGGCATGCATGCCGAAGTTGCACTCATCCGCAAGTCATACCATGGGCTGCGTTGTTATATCTGCACTTCATGTCTGAGGAATACATCATTAGCATTGTTTGCTGTGCCCAACAAAATGTTTGACTTTGAATACAGTCTTTGAATATTGATATACAGGATTTGGAGTTGAACTGGGCGATGAGGAAACTGCATGAAACCTACCACATTGTCTTTCCTTTATGATAAAAAACTCCAGCAGCACTGGGCACAGCCACTAGGCGCGGCCACTGGGCACAGCCACTGGGCATGGCCACTGGGCACGGCCACTGGGCACGGCCACTGGGCACAGGCAGATAAATGCTTCTAGATGATTACATCACGTTCCTTTTGGATTTCCAGGGATTAAAGCAACTGTAAAAGTGTGTCCCAATTATCATACTCGTAATAAAGATGCTATTAACTGCTGTTTGACACTGCCAGGTTGAAGAAAAGCTTGTCTCATCTATATTCTTGGCCTAACCCACCTTGTGTGTTGTCAGTTTCCTCGTTTGTGATGGGACTGAAGAAATTGACTCATCGTAAGTACGGTCGTGTCTTGAGCATGCTCACATACACTGTGTTTCATAGTGCATTCACCCACACGCTTATTTGTTATCAACCGTTTTTGCCCGTACAGTACAAGGATGACAAAGTGTCCAAGCTGCCCAAGGATTTCTTCCTGTACAATGCCTCCAAGGCTCGGTCACCCACTTTCATCAACACGCGAGAGATCATGGGCCGCTTCAAGTTGCCCCCAGGTCGCTACTGCATCGTCCCCTCGACCTTTGAACCCAACCAGGACGGGGACTTCCTGCTGCGTATCTACAGCTTGAAGGACAGCTCCTCTGTGTAAGTGCTGAGCATAATGACGTTACTCACTCATTGGATCTGTAACGAGTCTTTCATTTTGTTGACTAGTATTGAATTTTGCCAGGAATTGTGCAAGTTTTTCTTCTTTTTTTTTTCTTCAAAAAGTGTGCCATGCACGTACCTTGCCTCTGTATCTGCTCTCATAATTTAAACAAGCTTCCCTCTTTTCATGATAGGCTTGAGAGCTTAAGTGTAGCAGATACAAGTATGTTTCTTCCTTCATCCTGCCAGGGGAAATGGAGTTAGACATTTCTTAATCTGAGTGTTATCTTCAGACAGATAAAAATATACAGTGTGGGCATTGGGCAGGAGTTGACCAGATTTTTCTGCATGTAGATCCCATGTGATCCCATTATATCGCCTGGCCAAATGTTTTACACTACATTGTAACTGTACTGAAATCAACAGTGTATCCTTGCCCGCCAAAAAAAAACAGAAGAAAAGGGAAATTTGAACTGTAAACAATAATTTGTTTGACCCAACAGAACTTTGGATGAGAAGACAGGAATTGTGGACATTCCCAGGGAGGTAAGTAATCTGTTCATGAATAATTTTTCAGGGGGGAGGGGGCCATGTCGTGTTCACAGTCAAATTCTGATCTTGTGTTTATGTGAATACATTGTTTGAAAGAGTCACAACATTCAAGATGTTCTCTGATGCAGCAATGTAGAATGGAATCAATGGTCTGGGAATAATTCAGCCTTCTTTAGGGTGGAACTACTAGCAAACCTATTAAGTTACTGACCTCTGCATTGACAATGAATTTCCAATTATGTTGTGTTAGACTTCATTGAGAACTATCCTGAAAGGGGGATTTCCGTTGATTTGAACTCAATTCCTTGTGAACCTGAACATTTGTTGTGAATGCATTCTGTGCATATCAAATCATCATGTAATGTTTTTACTCAGCTATGCTTCACATAGTTAGGAAAAAGATAAAATAATATATGAATATAATTTATGAAAGCAAATGGCCATGCAAGCTATTGTGCTGTTTTTTATGGCCCAACTATTGTAGTAAAGTACTTGTAGAAGCACAGTGAACTGCGTATTACCAGATGCCACCTTGTAAATCACATGATAATGGGTTACAGATCATGCGATCTCACTTCCGTCTGCTCCTGCAATGATTTTAACCAGACATTTGTCTTGTGATATTCCACACCTGTTACTGCTCCATGACAGGGGCCATCTGCCAGGGCTGCTTCCAAGGTAAACGGTGTCAGGAGGATTTGATATGCAGATATGGAATCATGCATTATTCATGCATTGTCAAACATGGACCTGGTGTCTTCCTTACAGCCTGGCATTTATCCGTTCTTTGTGCATACATGTACATCTATTCATGTCGTCATTCTGAAGCTGATCTGAAACCAAACGAGGAGACTTTGCCTTGCATCTTTGAAACCATGCATATCAGTTGGATATATTCGTGTATCCAAGTGAAGGGTATTTTGCAGTTGGTGCTTTATAAGGAAAGAGGGTTTGATATTGCATAGAGTTCTTTTCTCAATCCCAATCTCAGCTTTAGCAAAGCAAAACCAAATGAAACAGAAGATATTTTGTTTTGCATGTGGTAACTTGAATCCACCACCACGCCTTGAGTTACTTGGGTTTTGCACAATTCTACAAACTGTTGGGGTTATTTGGTTCTCATCTGCACCTTAGCATATTGGACATCCACATCTGATACTGCCGAATGCTTCGGCCTTGGTTGGAAAATACAGCAAGTTGTGTTTCTTGTACATTCCAAGCCTACCATTTTAGACCTTTTCCACCACCGTGGATTCAATTCTCAAGTCACAGCTTATGTCAAGCAATTTGATGCATCTGTCTGGACAGTGTATCAATGTTTAATTTAACTTCTGTCCTGATTTGGTGGGATGTGTATTCAGAAACACAATTTTGTATTTCATTGGCCTTGGAATTAAGACAGATGTATGTATGCTTGCATTCAACATTTATTTCAGATCTCTGTCACTCAAGTCTCCTCTCTCCAATCAGCTTCTCCTCCAGGGGTTTCTACTCTTTCTTTCTGTCTTTCTCTTTGCCTTGTCACTAACAGATTTCAAGGCTCCTAGCATTACTAAGCCCCCCAAAAATCACTTCCAGATGCCCAACAGAAAGAAGTTGTGGAAAAAAATATGGGCATATACCCGCTGTTTTTCAGAAAAGCATTTGTTCTTAATGTTCATGTGCATTGCTTGCAGAAAATATGGTCAGTAATGCTCTAGTATTCCAAAATGAATCTCTAAAAGTTGTGGAGAAGATCGGAGCATTTGTTTTAAAAATACATTGCTTGTGGTGTGACAAATTTAACTTGATAAGGCTGTGCTAACTGTGAACTTGTTGGCTATATTTTGAAACAAAGGTCCCTTTCATTTGAGAAAGAGAAAAATGAAATTAAAGAAAGATAAAATGTGAAATGCTGTATTGAATCCAAAGTCCTGGTAATTCTTTAAAAAAAAAAAGAAATTTAGTATCATATTTTTATCGGAAATGCTCAGGAGCCCTGATTACTAACAGTTCCTTTGTGTTCGAGCATTTTGGATTTTATGTTACAAAACGAGTCTTGAAGTGACCACAGTGAGAAAATGATGGAGTTTCAGAAACAAGCCAAACAAGAAAAGGTTTGGTTTGGCTGATAATGAAGTTCATCAGAAAAGTGAATCTCTAGAAAAACAACAGACAGCCGTTTCTGTACTTCTCAAAACCCCAAACAGTTACTTTTTCTCTTTCTGTCCATGAGCTCAGGCTCGTTGACTTACAATCTTGTCATGTGATTCATCAAGCATTTTTCTGATTTCAGAGATTTTATGGGCAAGAAAGGAGATACAAAAGATTCAAAAGAAAGCATTTATACTGACAAATTTGCTATTAATGTCTTCATTGCATTTCAGTTCAAAAGGACTTGATGCTTGCCTGCAGTTGTTTTTTTTAAACATTTCACTTTACTAGTGAAACATCCAAGATTTTTTTCTTGACATCGTAGAGAGGGTTGGGAGAAGAGCCTCAGCGTGAACCATTTAAAACAAAACACAAAATAAAAGACATGAAACATTCGAGAAATGCAATTTTGAACTAATATTAAACCCACCTGGAAATAGATTAGCTTAACAGAGTGCATTTTTTGTATGTGATACTATAAAAGCATGTTGAATATAAATGTGATTTTTTTTGTGCTAGCCAACGAAATATTTGAAATTCTGATCAGTCAATATTTTGATAGCATCCAAAAGAACAAGGATCAGGGCCCATTACATTCTCATCGTCATCTAAAAAATCTTCAGTCCTTTGTGATGGTTGCATGCTCAGATGGTGATGTTGATACATGCATCAGACATGCAAGTTTTTCCACAGATCACACAATTTCCTTCTCTTCCACGTCTCATGTACCAGACACCAAATGCACAAGTTGAAAAAAAAATAAACAAAATCTAATGCATAGAGGTATTTCCTCTTTTCTGTCTGAATTCCCAGTTTGCATGTTACTGTACGGTTGAGTGAGTGACTGTGTAAGAGCTGCCAATGCAGCTTCACAAGTCTTTGCAGTGCAAATATATAATATGAATTCTGTGAAATTGAAACCAATCCAGGCTTTGCTGCATAAACAAACGTGTAACATCAATACTGTATGTACAACGGTGAACATTCCTTTCACTAATACTGAATACATGTAAATCAACAACTGTCTCAAGGTCATTATTGAATGTGTTTTTCATATTTCACACGTGAGCGGGAACCACCAGCATTATTTCATAGGCAATTCGATTTTATTGTCACATAGAAACTATCATAAGTACATGTACATGTATGGAACAGTCCCAATGCACATACCAACAATCAACATTTTGTGGACACTCCAAATATCCCACCGCCATGATAAAATTCATTTGTGTTAAACCACTAGCCACCTCACCAGTGTGGTAGGGATAATCATATTGGTAATCTTACTAACTCAACAAATTATTACTTCGTCATGCATGGTTCACATTCTTCAAATGGCATTAAAATCAAGTATCAGTGAGTATTATTCTGTGACTGAGAGCCACTGACAATATGGGAAAACTGTGTGGAAAAATTAATGGGGAATAATTATACATGCGAGTACAAGAATGTGTTCAAACATCAAAGTGACATGTACAGTACGTGATTGAAAATGACTCTAGAATACAGATTGGTGTTTACATTGATAATACCGATGTCATGGCATGAGGAGAAATATTGCAGTGAGGTTTTAGTCATGTAACCTGCAGGATGTTCATAACAATGCTAGTCGGTTGACCGTCGGCACCAGCCTTTCTTACCATCTAAGATGGCCGCATGCATACAACATGGCTATTCCAGTCATTATATCACCTGCCACTCATCTTGTAATTCTTGTGTGCTTTTGCCAACAGCCAGAGAAAAAGAGTGCCGAGACCATTGCCGCTGAAGATGCTATGAAAACTAAATTCCTTGACTTCTTCAAAAAGATCACCGGCGACGTAAGATACGATAAATGCTTCTGCAAACAATGTATATTTAAAAACCACTACTCGCAAATGAAAAGTAATTCCTGTTGCTGTTTACCTTGCTTCTGTGTACTTTGGAAAGTTTTGCAGGTTTTATTGATTCCTAAATTTCTTCTCCAAATTCAATCTTAATCCAGCATCACTCAGACTCTGACCCCTTATTTTGAATCTCCATCAACATCGGTTCTGTCATCTTTTGTGGCACCGGCTGTCATTGTCACAGCCATATGTTGCCATTATCGTCACTTCTGTAGACTGACCACTGATTCTTTCTTCTTTTTTTGTATTTTGACTATTGCATTTGGTTTGACAGGACATGGAGGTCGATGCATGGGAGCTGCAAGAGATCCTGAATGCTGCTCTCAAGAAGGGTAAGTATCTTGAAAACCAAAATGCACAATGTAACCTGTGGAAGAGAAATGACACCAAATAAAATGCATACACAGTCCTTGTTAACATTCAAGCTTGTGAAAATGTCAAGCAGTGAAACACAGCAGGTGCTTGCAGGTGTATAGGTTTGCAGTAATACCATGCAAAATACCTCTTTTGTATGTTTCTGATAAGAACTGGAGGGTACTTTCAGTCTCTCTCAAATCTACCAATTTTACATGCCTAGCTAGTACCTCCATGAAAAGTACCTGATTTGCTTTACATCTTTGGAGCAGTGCATCATTTGAGAAGTCACAGAATACCAGGATACCACCTTTGAAGTTCAAGTCACTATTGTAGCTAGATGATAGATACAAACACGTGGTGCAGACGGGCAGTGGAACCCTGTTTAATATTCAAAATGCATTGAACTATTAAAGTAAAAGTCAAAAACAGAAACCGGATGATGATGAATTTTGTAAACTCAAAATAAAGCAAGTAGCAGACATCTCCCACATACTGTATAAATCCACAAGTAGCTTATTTCATAAATCAACAAATAGCTTGTCAGTCTTCATTTTCCCTAGCCGGTGTCCCAATCTGGAAACAAGTGTCGTCTTTTGTGAAATTGAACAAGATTGTCAAGAATTTAGCGTCTCCAATGTCTCCACTAAATAGTGTGGTCTCCACAACTACAATGTGGGGTTGTGTGTAATTACCATGCACAAAGTGAGACCTTGTTTCTTCTTGAAGATAAGCCTACTCTTTGTACATGTACATGTTTATGTGCATAGATTTTTTTGTAACAATTATTCTTATGAGGAAGGACATTTGTAAACCTCTTTATAAAGATTTTTTGCTAATGGTGCATGTTATTTTCCATCCATTACTTACCTGCCATCTCTTTTCCCCCCTGGAATGCAATCTTCTACTCATTTTTGGGGGGGTTAATGTTGCATGTGGCTACTCTTTCTCAACCCCATCCATCATGGAGGCAGATACGGAGGGAGGTGGTGAGCATTACTAGCAGGACAGCTTGTGGTTTTGGTCGCTTCTCGTGGTCCGTAATTTCTGCTTTATTTGCCGTGTGCCCGCCTTGTCTGCAGTTTAATTCCCTTCCATACCTGATTTTTAGTTTTTGACAGCAGTTGTTAGACAGCAGCCGTTACTGTCTGGTTTCTTCGTGGCATTGTAGGCATCGCCATGGTTTTAGTTGCAGGTCATTGAAGGTGCCACTCTGCAATAAACACCAGTCTGTTTCTCAATTTGCTTTTGTTTTATGTTACTCCTGCACATCAAATCCAATCTCCTGCATTCATGTAACTGTTATAGGACCCTTCATGTCAAAATCCTTTGACGTTTATAAGTGTGGTATTTTGGCACATAGATAAACAGGATTCTTAAAGTGAAATTGGTATCATCATTTTGACTCAGTATCACAATACCAATTTCAAGACTACCACCTCCGAAAAAAACCCCATATGTGCAGCAAATGCAGATGAGATAAAAATCGTGCAAATACCCTGACGTTGTTCGCATGTATTTACAGGGAATTGGAAGTGTGTCCATGTATAACATGTGCAGAAAATGTTATAAACTCACAAGTAATATTAATTTGCTTTTACAGGTGTTCCTAGTGTTTGCATAGTATTCTGTATACATGTGTGTGTCCCGCATTTTGTTGACTGGCTTTTTCCCCCATCTCTTTTACATGTCCAAATTTCTGATGCTGATACATTTACATCCATTGCCTCAATAGATTTACATAGATCTAGTGGTGAGCTATGCCCAGTGCTTTGTTGCTAACACAACTCACTTTGATTAATGCTGGTATGTTTGGTTTTGGCTTGGTTCTGTCTTGTTCACACGCGGTGGGGCCGTGAAATGGTATGGTCCACATCACCGTAGTATTCTGCACATATTAATAGCTTCGTAGCTTTGTGTTTTAAAAGCTGTTCCTGCGGCGATGTCAGAATTTTCCTGACTGTTTTCAGATTTGTACATGTACATCCGTGGAAGACTTTGTCCAGTATGTTCAACACGAACTCCGAAGACTTGTTGAATTTTTGTGCACATGTTTTTTTGACTACAACAATTGTTTAACAAACCCATTTCTATTTACTCATATGTATATTTTTTGTCCATCATGACACAGTATATGGTTCATTAAAAGCAACAACTGTTACAGATGATATTACCTTTTAACCTTCCATTTCCAAGAGTTACCAGGGATACACACTGTTTTTGTCGTAACCATCACATTTGTTCCTCTGATGTTATTTTTTTTTGACTAATCCTACTACATAATTATGTCAGTCCATTAACACTTTTCAAGGTTTAGTGTCCATGTATCTATCCACCGTGTTGATGTTTTGTATGTTTGTGGAATGGTTTGTGTTCATTGGATATGGCTTCTACCAGCAAGTAACTCGTGAGCCAAACCTACCATCAAATCTTCAAAGACTTGCGTGCTAGGCAGTTTAGTAAACATTCTCTGCAGTGTGAAGTGTCCACTTGGAGACAGTCCTATGTTGTTATTACCTGTATTGGTTTGCCTTAAGATGGGTTCACACTCAGAGTAAATGCCAACTTTATGCAGGCAGTCACACTGCAGTGTACTTATAAATGTAGATATTTGAATCACCAAGATTAAGAAGTGGAAACCTGACATGATATTGATGCAGTCTGGTCCTAGTTGGTGTCATTCACCCACTTTCCTAAGAGGCCTGGCTTGAAAATTGTGAATATCATTAAACTTTGAAAATTGAAATTCATTTCAGTTAAATGAAAGCAACAGTTAGTCTGCAGATGCAAAGCTTTGATACATTATCTCTTCATAGAAACTGTAAACAAAAGGGATGTGGAAATAATGAAGGTCTGCCTCTTCCATCAAACAGCACTTGCCTTTTCTAATTTTTTTACCTCCTTAACCTCATTTTTTAATACCGAGTTAGCCATTGTTTGATTCAGTGGATTATTACATAAAAGGAACATCTCCCATCTCAACAAACTCTTCATGACACTAGAATTGTGCCTGAGATTGCACATGTTGTGTGTTGGCAAATCTACCCCGTTGTTTGATTCAGTGGATTATTACATGAAAGGAACATCTCCCATCTCAACAAACTCTTCATGACACTGAAATTGTGCCTGAAATTGCACATGTTGTGTGTTGGCAAATCTACCCCGTGCCGTGTATATTGTTGTTGCTTGCTTGTCATGAAAATATCTGTTGCTACAGCCAATTCCTGTAAAATGTAGTTTAAAAAGTGACAAAATTTGCTCAAACCGAATGCTTTTATTCATTGCCTGTTAAAGATGTTAACATCGGTTAGAAAATGGGCGTTTTGCTCAGAAGAGGCTCTTGAGTGCCGCTGTTCCTTTTCAGTGCTAGGCAGTTTGTGTATTAACAAAAAGCACGACTATGCACTGAAAAAAAGATAAATGTGCTTGACTAGAGAATGCTTTGAGAAGTAGAGTTGGTTGTTTTGTGAAGCTTGAATATGCGTATGAGTATAAGTAATATGTGTTCTAATTTGCACATGTCGATTGAATGGGGCTTTGAAACTTGTCCACTATTTGCACAAAGAGCAAAACATATATTGCATGGAGTTGACCATATTTTCACATGTCATACCTCTGTCTTAGATACTGTCCGTTTGTTGGCCCAGAACAAACACATGACAGGGCGACATATCCACATGTCACACTCACCTTGAGACATCTTATTCTACTGATGGTGTTCAGCTTGTTTCTTTGGATAAATTCTTTTAAGACAGAGGTGTGACAAAACACTTGTTGACCGCTGTGGTGTGGGATATGACATTGTAAACACCCTCCAAAGCTGAGGGCGCTATGCGTGCCCGAGGGTGTTCAAAACATTATATCCCACACCACAGCAGTCAACAATTGTTAAATGTACCTTCCAGCTTGCACGTTATTGCTGTACTCGGCATTCCCGAGTGCTAGACATCATTAATGTCATTTTAATAAACCAGTAGTGGACAAGTTTAAGGGCCTCTGAAAAAGGTTTTTTGTGGTGTGTGTTTTTGGTTTTTACTAAGCACGAAAGGTGTGTTTTTATTTTTAATCAGTCGTGCACACTAGTTAAAATATTGTTGCATTTGAGTTACAGTTGTTTGTGACAAAGTTTCTTACTTAAAAAGGGGTTTGGTGATATTTCATCTAATGTGGTACGTAATTTCTGCAAAACTGACATTGGATTGTAAATGTCATTTTCACTAATTTTACAACTCTAACTTGTGCTTAGTCAGTATGTTTGGAACAAAACATTTAAAAACACTGTACCTTCTTACGGTGAACTTTACCATTAGGAAAACTGGGATCAGAAGTTTTAAATGGTTCAAGTCTTTTCTTCTTTTTGGGGCAGGGAACAAGAAAATGGAAGTTTTGATTCGGATTTCCTCTGTTCCTTAAGTTCCTCTCTTCATTTCCAATTTCATATCATCAATTAACTCAGACATTTCCCTTTTGATGATCAGAGTTGGCTGGGTCAGATGGCTTCTCTATTGATGCCTGCAAGTCCATTGTGGCAGCCTGTGATGTATCCTTGGACCTAGACATTCTACCAAATCTTGACGATCACACATTCAGAAGTTTCTTGTTTTCATGTCCATATGTTGTTGTTTGTATTTTTTCAAATGAATCCACAAATTGATGAATTGTACAGTTTGGTTGGTTGTTTTCTGTTGCATTTCTTGTACAATGTTTAAGAGGACGTGCATCCCACAATTGCACTGGTAAATTTGTAGTTTCACAGATCTGTAGTTCTTGGTCTATGGTGGCTCATGTGAACAGTCTTGCTTGCCAGGATATGCACATGTTTCTTTACTGAGAGTCTGGTCACTGCGGGATTGATTAATTTACAGAAGCATCACAAAGCAGATAGTCTGGTTACCAAACTACCCTGGGTTACTTTGTTGCACAAGCAACAAACACTGTCAACTAGGGATAGAGTATTCTAACCCACTGTAGTGGGTCAGAATACTCACTGTGATCATGTGCAAAGTGCAAGCACAGTGTGTTAGTACTAGTCAGACCCCTTGTCTAATCTCACGCAGAGTCGGAAAGTTTTGATACCGGGTGCTAGCCAAGGGCTTCAGAAGTAGTGTCATACCCGGCTGCAGCTGAAATTATGCAGTTGCAGCTCAATGGAGACATTCCTACACTGACAGCATCAAAATTAAAATTAGGCAAGATTGTCTGGTTTGGGGACTGGTTCCAATAGTTTCCTAAGGACTGTAATTGTCCTTAACACAGCATATTTAGGAGGATCGTTCTGGCAAACTAGGCTTTGAGGAGTTCATGGATGTGTGGATGAACATCAGGAAGTGGAAGGTGAGGACTATTGCAGTTGTTGGATGGGACGGACATGCTCTGAATCAGTTGACTTCTTTCAAAGCAAAATGCCAGCTGTTTCTAATTTCAAACCAGTCGCTCCTTCATCTTGTAGCATTAATTAGTCAGTAAAGAAAGGGGCTTCTTTCAGATGCTGGGCTAGGAAATATTTAAGAATTTCTGTTTCATGAGATTGTAAAGATGAACCAAAAAATTGACTGCAGTGGGATTGGAACCTGCGGCCTCTGGAATACCGTACCAGTGCTCTACTAACTGAGCTATCCAGCCCTGTATTGGTGGCTCTTCCTATTTGTCAATATCTCACTTTGGGGGCGCTAGCCAAAAGCCATTAAACCTGAAACACCATGTAGCCAGGGATCATGCCCCAATAACATGATACAACCTGGAAAGTGGTAAACAAGGATCACTCTAAGAGGATACCACTTTTTGAACATGAAACAAATCATGAAACAAATTATATAGGGAAACTGACTAGGTTCTTACTAATGATTGTAAAGATTAACAAAGAAATTGACTGGAGTGGGATTTGTTTGTTTCAGTTAATTGTCCTTTTGAAGGCTTTGATTTTTATGACTTTCTTTTCAATAGCTTGTGTTCCAGAAGTATGATCAAGATAAATCTGGTTCTTTCAATACAATGGAACTGCGTGATGCTCTGAGGTCCATTGGTAAGTGCATTAGGGTGGGGAAATGTTTCAAGTCGTCGTTGATTGGTCTGGTTATTTCTTTGAATGGGTTGATAAGCAAATCCCAGACACTTGAAAGATGATTTTTATTTCTTCCCCTGACTATTTTTCTCAGTGTTGACAGTGGCGTGTGGATCACTTAATTCAGTATTTTTATGTGGGGATATATTAACTTCACCAGAGCTGTTTGACTATTCTCATATTCTGAGCCAGGAGAGTCTTGTGCTGCAAGCAATTCCTCTCGGGGCCGGTGATTTCAACAAAGCACCAAGGTAATACGCATACGCAGTTCACAACATTAAGTGAGCCAATGACATGGTTGATTTTTTTTCTGTTTTGATGTCTGCACACTGCAGGCTACTCTGTCAGCAACCAGACCCTGGGAGCACTAGTGCTGCGCTTTGCCAACAAGAAAGGGTTGATCAACTTTGATGAGTTCATTTCCTGTGTCATCAAGCTCAAGCACTTGATTGGTGAGTTGATGGTTCTTTGTTTGGCTCTGTCTGTTGCTCTTTTTTATTTTTGTAATGACCATTGAAGTAATATGCTGCTTAGGCAGTGCTTTAAACTGGTGTCTCAAAGTGGTTAAACCATAATTTCCAGTGAGTTTAGCACAGCTGGCAACCAGTTGCTCTCCTGAGTGCAATTGTTATAATGTATCCTCCCAAGGACTTTAATACCATAAATACTCTTTCACAATCAGCAGGATGAACTCTTAATTTCCATTATGACAAAACATGTTACTTTGGTTGTGCTTGAACTGTTCAGATGCCTACCTGCCAAAATCAAATTTCAGTAAATGCTAGTGCAATTGTTACCTTACTTCCTTAGGGTTAACATCTTTAATGCGTATGACCAATGCGGTTACTTTGAATATTCATTCTGAAGCCAGTCAAAATACAGTTAGTTTGTCTTTGTTTTCCCCCAATAGAGTCCTTCCAACGGAATTCATCCCGTGGATTGGCCCAGTACAAGCTGGATGAGGTAAAACAATCATTACCACAAATCACATCTATTACCTATTTTCACAATATCCAGGGTCAGTTGTTATTTTTTTGGGGGGGGGTTGGTTTTGTTTTGGTGTTGGTGTTTGGAGTCAAACACAGGTACCTTATCCCTTACCAGTTGAAATTTGCAAATAATATTCATGAGCAGCAACTTATGATATTCATTAGCAGCACTTATAACAATATTCATGAGCCAGCACTTATAATGTTCATGAGCAGCCACTTATAATATTCATGAGCAGCCACTTACAATTATATTCATGAGCAGCAACTATAGAATAGATACAAAGTGGTGTCTTCTGAGGAGAGCCTGAACTCACTGTTGTAAAAGAATCACCTTTATTATGACACTGTATTTTCACTCTTGTAGTTCTTGGCAGTGGGAATGTACTCGTAGAGAGCCCCAACTGTTTAACACCAATTGCGAGGGGAGAACATTCTGAGAGCAACACGGTACACGACTGCTTCATTGCTAGAACGAGCTCCAAGTTCAGATGTTTAAAAAAATCATGATATTTGGATGATTAATCTTTATTCACTATTCAGTGTAACAAAAAACTTCTATGCATGAATAAAATCCAAAAGATACGATCAACATGCATCAACAAGAGTTACCATCAGGTTAACCCTGAAGTAGAATACCTTCACAATATTATTCCTTATTGTAACAAGTAGTAGAAATGTAAAAGAAATTACTGTATTCATTGCTTGAATATCTAAATTCGTGCATGTAGGCAATATCTTTTGGTAGTTCACCATCTATTTTTCTGTCATTTGTATTTGTGGTGATGGATATTTGTGGATGTGTTATTATAAAGTAGTCATAAAAGAGATGGAAAACTTCTTTTGGTGTTATTATGTGAGTAGGTGATTTCAACTTGGTGTAATAAAGGTGGAAGGTACATGTATTTACAAGGATAGTGCATTTTCAAGCATAAGAAAAGATAAAATCTAATTATGCCTAGCTTTGGACTCAGTAAAGGAGAAATGTAGAAAAGCAGCTTAATGACAAAACGTTTCAGTCATAACTTGATGATGCTAACAAAATCGTACTTTGAGCTATGATTTTTTTGTAGCTGTTAGCTTTAGAGTGTTTAAAATTGTATCATGTTTGATGGGAGTTTATGACATTTAACTGTATCAAATGGCACTTCTTGACAGAGGCTGGTCATGTGACAGTGTCAATGTGATCTGGAATTGTCGGAGAAAGCAAATTTGCCGAACTTGTCCTTAATTAATGATGCACAGTGATAAAATTAAATGATCGACAGCAAATTATGTATTGAGACGAACCTTTGTCCAAGTAGATAGAAATATTCAGAAACTTCTGTGAAGCTTTGAAGTTCTTTCATGTTTTGTTCAGTATTGCTATGATGAATTGACTGTGGCGTGGTAGTTGGTTAGGTGCATGAAAATTCATTAAGTAGAGAAGTACAGACAGTTGGAATTGTAGCTTCACGGCACTTTTTTAGTTTTGATTGGATAATTGCAGTAATTAGATGATTTCATTTTATATGTTGTAAGGTTTGAAACTGCATTCATTCTTATCTTCTGTTGCTTTGCCAAAAAAAGGCTTTTGGGTTTAAACAATTCACATGTATTCCTTGTTTTTTTCTGTTTTCTTGCAAGGAATATGCTTAGAAAGTCAGTCACCAGTACTATCTACCTACATTACCTCATCTTCTGCCACGTTGCCCAAATTTCTTGGTGCTGCTTACAAAACTCTTCCAATTTTTAAAATGTGCTCAGCCACCCTGCTCACCAGTGAGATTCCTTTTTTAATGTGCTGAATGTGTTTGTGATTGTAACTTTATAGGCATGCACGTTGCAGTCAATTTTAAGCAGATGATTTATATGAGTTGTGATTGGAACATGCCTGATACCAGCTTTAGAACTTTCTCCTTTGTCACAGGATAGAACTTTGATCCTTACAGATTGAACAGATAATTGTTAGTAGCCTGGAAATTTTCTGTGTACCGAAGGAGGAAATGTGAAAGTTGTAAAGGAGATATCCCGGGGTATTACAGAAATCTTCTGCATCATACAAAGTCTGTCATTTTCAATTATGTATTTCACAGTTATAGTCAGGGTATTCCTTTGGAAGCATTGCTCACATGTTAGCCTTTAGATCTATACTACATATCTTCACTTAGGTATGATCTAAATAGCAGCTTCCAATTTACATGTACCATTCACATTTGAAATACATGTATTCAGCTTTTAGTCATGCTTTTGAAGGAACAGTATCATTACAATGAATCAAGTAGTTGTTATAGTGTACGAGAAATGTGTGATAGTGCTGTAATAGATTAGCATTAAATGCAGTATAAAAAAAGCTTTGTTTTTGGGGTAGTGATATTCCTTGGGTGACCAACTGAGATGTATGGTCAGTCTCAGAAAGAGCTCAAAGTGTTTCAAGTGACACGGGATATTTCATTCTCCTACCGATATTTTCTGCGGAATTCACAATTTTGGAATTCCCAAGCTTACGTTGTGTTGGCTTTTAGGTACATTTAACCTCACATCTTGTTTGCATGTCTCATGCAAATTCCCCACTGCACGGATGTTAGGTATGCATCCACTCCCCAAATTTGGCTGCTTTTGTTTGTTTCTAATTTGCTTTCACGAAACAATGAAAAAAGCTGGCTTATTGTACCCTACATTTTTTCTGCAGATGCCGACTTCCACAGTTTAGGTCTCTGATGGTTTTTAACACATTGACTGCCGTGCATAAAATCACAGGCCCTTCCTATTTACCCAGTGATGCATGCATGCGTGCATATTTAAACGGTACATGTTCTTTTCGGGTGTCAAGGTGAACATGAGCATTTTAAAAGATGTACGCCCGCGCCACTGCCAGCAGCGTACCTTGTGTTCTCAGTGATGCCAGCATGTTCAATTTACATTACAATAGCCTTTCATTTCCTAGGACTCAAAGTCGGCAGTCAGTGTGTTAAATGGAAGCACTGTTGCACTGTGACAAAGTTTTCTCAGGTTTCCTGTGCACTGTCAATGAGTTTGTGCACCAAAATGAAAAAGTCGGGATTGCATTGGCCAAAATGTTTGTCCCGTGATGCATATGCAAAAGTGCTCCAGCACAGCGTGAAGCACACATCTTCACTCAGTTCAGTGATGCTACTTGGTGCTCATGACAACTTCCCTTGTCTTGTGAAGGCATAACTCACCAATGAGCACATTTGATGGCGGCAACCATCACCTGTATCCCCATTCAGTATTGAGGTTCTGCACGGCAGCCACCTTTCTGGTAACTGCTTTTGTTATGGAGGGATAAACACAAAAGGTCTACTCATGTGCATCCCAGCGAACCAAAACCTCTTTTGTGTGATTAGGGTTCGGTCTCATCATTGTACTGAACTGCACTGCATTAGTCAGGGACAATGCTCATGCTGTGTTCTGGCACACAGTTCGAACGCTGCATCTATCATACCATATGTGCACTTAAAAAACAATGGATACCATTCAAATTCTAAGTTAACTTGGGACATGAAGACTCAAGGCAGGTCTGGATAAATTATATTTTCTGTCATATTTGATCATGTTACCTGGGATTTATTCAACTTCTGGTATTTACATGTAGTGAGAAAAATAAAAGCAAAGCTAACAAAAGTCGACCGTTTCCTATTTTTAATGCGAGTACTGGTTTTAAATGAATTTTTGGCATGTTTGACACGAGAAATGGAATAAGGTACTATGAATGTCAAACTTTGAGTAATTAATTACATTGACCTTTACGGGAGAATTTTTGAGGTTTCTTGAAGCTGGGGGTGGGGTGGGATATTCAACCCCCCCTTAGTTGTCCTGTGACCAATCGTTTTGGGCATTTGGTACGCATGCAAAGACACTGCAAGTGTTTCAATTCAGTCTGACAAAAGGTTTTGTAGTTACGTTCATTTATGGTTAAACATCTCACACATTGGTCCATTCATTGAGCATGTCAACCTGAAGAGTTAACATATAGACCCACCTTTCTTGGGAAGAATAGACATTTCACAAGAACAGTAAAAGGCATGTCCAATGGTTACAAAATTGTTGTCAAGTGGACGGCAAAACACTAGGCCTACAAAAATTGCATGACAGTAACAATCTCAGGAAAACTATCCCCCAGCATTAGTAGAGTTGAGGCCACATCAAAATATTAAAAATAAAGACCGACTCTGAAATCTCATTAAAAAATATAAACCATGAAATTGAAAATGTACTAAATTACTTTTTGTGCATTCCAGAACTTTTCGTAACTGCACAGATTACATCCACACAGACAAATCCAGGCACATGGCCAGTATACACCTGGGAAGACAGCAATAAGGCAGGAACACTTTGCCAAGTAATTAGTACTATACATGATATATAGCCCTTAATGTTTCTGAGTGGTGCAATAGACGGCACACGTCTCCCATCGTTACTGGCATGTGCATGAGTTGTGCTTAGAGCTGTCTATGTTAGAAATTGAAAATAACAACTTCATAATGAATACAGGTGAGAGAATACATGAAGCAACTTTTCAGTATTGGCATAAACAGGGTACATTTTGCAGGAGGGGCACTTGGGCCCTCCTTTTTTGAGAGGGGATATTGAATGGGTGTGGTCACAGTTAAAAGCTAGACTAAAGTAGTGTTATACTGCTGCTGTCCAGGCAAGGTAACTGACTTTACAAAGGTGTCCATCTCCATTACTTCCTCTAGGTGTAACCTGCAATGGTGATTTTCTAGTCTTGGGACAAGGTAGAATTATGCATTGTTAGTTGTTAGGGAACCCGGTTTAATAGCAAAAAGCTGTAAATAAGGAAGAGTGCATATCCAGGTTGTATTCCAAACATGGACAGTTTCGTCCATGGAGCAATATTTCATTTTTACAAGCTTGACAAAAAAGGGGCGGCTCTGCTAAGCGTGACATTACATTACCCAGAGTAGTGCTCAGTTACCGCTGACAAAAGTGAAAAAACTGTGTTCAAAATTTCTCATAAAATATTTGCAATCATACAGCAATGTCCAAACATCCTAACATCTCGATGATCCACTGCTATAAAGATTACAATTTCTTGAGATTTGTATTACGAAATCTAAATGCGAGTCATTTGTGATTGAAAATTGTGCATTTTATGAACATGCAAGTACAGTGCCTTGTTATTTGCATGTACATGTACATACTTTTGCACGACTGCATGCCAAAAGTTCTCCTTGGACTAACACTCTACAGTAATGAATCTTGTTACAGGTCTCATTAAAACCCTAACCATGCTAAACCCAACAAGGTTATGCAGGATTTCAATGGTCCCTAGGGGTTAGGGTTAACTGGAAATGTGGAAACATAAATGATGTGGTATTTAGCGTGAACAAGATTGAAGGAAAACACGTCCATCTCCATCAGTCCATCTTTAATAAAAAAGAAACAAAATGTTGCTGGTTTTGAGGAAGCCTCCTTTGGTTTCAAGGCATGCTCATTGTGAATGCATTTTAATGACAGAATCAACAACATGACCAGTAATGGAATACTCAAGTTCCTTTAAACACTGGACGGGCTACTAAGTACCATTATACTGATTTTAGTAATGGTTTAGAAAACATACATTATTTGTTTTGATGCTTTGCACTAGTACTTGTAGAATACAGAATGTACAAATAAATGAATCTATATTTGAATGCTTACAATCCCCTTATGTAATATAATTTGGAGATATTTAGAGGTATTTCATGGTCCTTCAAAACTCCTGTCAAAACATTTGATGTTATGAATTTTTTCTTTTTTGTTTTAAAATGGAAGGCATTTAACTCTCCCCGAAGATCATTTTTCTGAAATAAATGACAGATTGTGCAGTTTATCATGTTTGTTACGAGAAATTAATCAACATTTCTCCCAAGGACAATTAACAATAAGATTTCAGCCCCTCATGGGAGCCATCAAAAGAGGAATCTAAGAGGGCTGGTAACTGCCCTTTTTGGCACAAAACTTTCAAATTTGCAAACTGTTTTGATTTCTTACCAGGCCCAAAGAATCCTACTATTTTATGCAAGATGTCAATAAATCTGGACAGATGGCAGCAATTGGCCTCCAGCGATTCTTTCTCACTCTCGATGTTGATCAGTCCTTTGACTCAAAGGCTTGGCTCCATCTTGGAATTAGGAAGATCCCCCATCGATCTTGCTGCTAATCTCCAATAAGATTCAGATACAGGTGCAAGTACAGAGGTTTTGTAGTGAGTAAGGCCAGCTTTTTCCTCCTGAAGTCGGTGGGTTTCTGATATCTGAAATTCAAACAGATTGTTAGAATCAGCTCCGGCTATGTCATTCAAGAAAAAAATAGCTCATAGTAAGGAACTTTCAAAAGTAATACCGTAATAGTCACAACAGTAAATTTCCTGCTTTAATTTAATCAAGAAAATGTACAAGCCTATGGAAATTTATTCATAAAATGTGCTAACACTCTGGAGACAAAAACGAATATCTTGCCACAAGTACATGAACACAACCACCTCCATGGAATTCTTATTAGAAAGTGTCAGATCTAAATGACCATCTAAATAAATATTTGACTAAATTTAAAGACTATTCCCATTTTTTCTGTACTTGATGATAATTTCCATCCAATAAGAAAACAGTCAAAAAACAGTCAAAAGTATTTTATTTATTGTATCATTCTTCACAGGTCTGTTTTTCCCACACAAGTGGAAGAGAAGGGTTTATAGCCTTCCTTCCCCAAATCCAGTCAAAGCTCATGTTTCTTGGCCAGCTAACAATCATTCTGAAATTACTTGGCCTTTTTTTTCACCTCTTTCCGGTTGAGATACTTACAGCTCAATGACCAGTGGTCCTGGCTTGATTTCGTCCATCTCCATGAAAGCAAAGCACTTGGTACTAATAGTTCGCTTTTTCAGTTTGTAGTGTTTGAACTCAAAGAAAATGGCAGTCCCTGTCAACAAAGAACTGGAAATTACTAACAGCTTCAATCTGGACAAGAACACGGAATAAATACGACAAAAGCACCGACACTCAGAGCCCTTGCTCTTCGCGGTGGCCATGACACCACACAGGAAATTTGGCTTTGGAATGAGCCTGATTGCTACAGCTGGCCCAAATGTGGTTCCTGGTTCATGTGGGCAGCACATGCTTATGTCTATGGAAATAAAGATTTGCTACGTACAATTTGACTCATTTGTTGTTGTCTATTCATTAAAGACACACCCGCCTTTCAGTAAAATCAATATCAAAATCACGAAAACACAAAGCTACACCATTCAAATTAACAAAGAAATGAAAAAAAGGTCTCCATTTTGATGGTCCAACTGGGCAAAAGAGGCAGGAAATTCCAGCGATAATGATTTTTAAAGTGATAGAGAATGATCAAGTAATATTGATACATTGATGGACCAGCCGTTCTTCAGTTTTCTTCACATCCTTCACCTTTAGGTAGTTTTTCAAGAGATTTCTGTACATGGACGTCAACTCCAAAGATAATGTAGGGGTCCTCCCTCCTCAGAGCAACCGGTGTCTCTTGCGGCTTGGAAACATCTATTCCTTTGTTATCTTTACAAGTTGAAAAAAAAATCCAATCATAAAGGGTTGATATTGGCTTATCATCTGAGAGATTTACACCTATTTGCTTGTAACACCTTCTAAGAAAACGCCATTCCCAAAAAAAGGGGATAGCAGAAGTTCCCTGGCATCCACATAACCACGGCAACTGTTCATGATAAACGTGTGTTGAACTTAAACTTAGCTGCTGCGCATGACCTGCTCAGGTAGCAAATATTGCTCCATGGGCACCCCGGAACGTTGAAAAATATGACAGGTTGCGGTTCTTTAAGGGAACATCTCATTATTCAGATCGGTCAAAACACTCCATTCGGAATACCACGTTCTCATTCTGGAATGGACAGCTGTTCCACTTGGAACAAAGCTTACCCACTGGAACACTGCTTCAGCAAAGTCTTTACACTAAGTGGACCATTCCCACTAACGTGTAAATGTTCCGTTGGGAACGATTCAATGGAACACAAACATTCCTGACTTTTGAGACACTCCCAAATGAGTCAGTTTTTGTGGTATTTAGTGGTATTTGTGGTATTCTTGCCTTCTTCAAAAGTTGAGATATTCAGCCAAAATAATACCATCATAAAAGTTGTTGACACTTGGAACAAGAATTTCTTTTAAATTTCACCCGGAAAGTACCTTTAAATGAAATGACAATGAAGGGGTCCAGATATGTTGAGGCATCCTTCAGACCTATCTTCTCCACTCGCACTATGAGGTTAGTGCTTCCTCTCTCACGAGGTATCATAGGAAATAGTTTACCTGCAGGTCAAGACAGATGACGCAAGGACAGCCTCAGACAATGAAGCCATATTCCCACATGGTGGCTTTGTTACTTAAATTCTGGTTGAATTTTTATCACAAGTAACCATCCTGAAAATATTTAATATCAATGCTGGTAACAGTCAGTGTACATCTAACTTCCAATCTGTGTCAAGTTTTCCTGTATTATGAAAGCCACAAACGTGCACAGTTACTTCAATTGACAGAAATCATCAACAAGCCACTGAAACTCAATGCTACAGCCTTTAACACACTAGCCTACTCAAGAACATTGCATGTATACTAATCACTCCCTGAGGGCCAATTTACACAAACCAGCAGCAATGGAAAGTGATGTAACCTTTGACATGCCCATGCCTAGAGGTTTGATAAACAGTGATGCAGTCACAAAGACCTTTGACCTACCATTGGGTGGCAAATTGAATTTTGATCTTTCCTGGGATCTTTGACATGTCTACACCTGGTGTTTTCATTCAAGGTGAAGCAGTCAACCAAGCCTGACCAGGTCCCCTATATCATTCTTACCTTTGAACTTTGACCCATCAATGGGTAGAAAACTGACCTATGGGGTCACAACCTTTGACACACACACTTACCTAGTGGTTTGATTCCAGGTGATACAATCACTGAGGTCTTATTACGTCCCGTTTCATCCTCCTCATCCTCATCAATCTCATCTCCATCAAGATCTAGCTCAAAGTTTCCCGATTTAACTGTGGGCCTGTGAGGAAATTAACAAGAAACTTGGAAGACAACAGGGACGTTTCCAAAGAAGACTAGTGCATAATTAGTTGTCAGAGAAACTTTCTGTGTCATTTAAAGAGATTTAGCAAAATGAAATCCATACTCTCCGGTCATACATCCATCGACAAGGATAAGTCAAATCACCATCTGCGACAAAAACTGGAGTATCTTTCTGTTCATTCATCCTACCTGAAAAGGGCAGCTTCAACTGGAACACTGACAGGGAACTCCGACTGTGAACTTGACAGCAGGCTCTCAAAGGCTGCATAAAAAAGTTAGTATTCTTTTACAATAGTTTAGATTTGATTTGTGAATATGTTTGCACATATTTCAGAGAATGTTATTCTGAAAGAGACAAGAAAACAAACAATACAACCTCTCCCAGTTCCAAACATGTAACTTTTCTGTGGTACTAGAACAAGAAGATTTTCTGCAATAAGAACAGTAGATATTTTCAAACTAATTGTTTTTCTATTTGGCTCTTTTTAAAAGGTCCAAGCAATGACAGTTTGTCATATTTGTTACTCCTTTTCTATGCATGAAAACTATTTGAGATCCTGTTAGGGTCAACTCCATTGAGAGATACCGTACCTGAAACAGTTCTGACAAAGGGTTGCTAGTTGACTTATTGCCGCGTAATACGGGTATTTAACAATAGTGCGCCTCCAAGAGTTTGCAACGCATTGACCAATCACAGCGTGCAAAATCTGTCGACCCAAACACGTTCGGAAAGGGTCAACAGATTTCACTGATTGGTCAATGCTTTGCAAACTCTTGGAGGCACACTACTATTAAACGCTTGTATTACACACCAATGAATCATCAACGACAAAAGGAAATTCAGGCCAGCAAAATATAAGAAATATATTGTACAATGATTTGTACATATAAAATGTACAAATCAAACTTCATCTTTCCGCAATGACATCACAGTTTTGTTGATAAAATGTAAATTCTTATTTGCATAAGAAACAAAAATGTAACAAATACCCTGTATAGAAATTGAAATTAAGGTTCATTGAGACATCAAGGTACAGTTTCAACGACTGCATCAAACTGCATTGCACAGCCACTTGGAAGGCGGGGTGGAGGGAAGTCCATGAAAGAGAATGCTGGGCTTACCTGAGTCTACTTTCTTCAGTTCTTCTAACGTGAATCCTTGAGTGTTGTCTGGAGACTTAAGTACAAACACATATACAAAATGAGAATATTAAAAAAATGAAGACTTAACACACCTGTCACATGGCAAAACCGGAAACAAGATTATAACTTCCTGTTACATATACGTGTATATGGTTGAAGACACAGCTTACAACTGGCATATGGAAACAGTTTTCTATATTTACTACATTGTATATTTCCCAGATTCCATTTTTCTCTTACCTGGAGCGCTTTCCCTCGGAGGTCTAGACATGCAGCTATCTTTGATAACGTTCTCTGCAATAACAAAAAATTTTAGATACATAAATACTTGCAGGCTGTGCCAAAAGCACACTGCAGTTCTGTGTACTTCCAACTAGTTAGCTTTTCCTTATACCTTCCTCCAGTGTCAAACTTGGCTGGTTTGAACCTTGTTGGGGGGCCATCTCCACCAAAGAATGCCCTCACTTTGCCCTAATGTGTGGGTTACAGTCTACATGTGGCCTGTATTAATGAAGCTACGACAGAAAAATTCAATCGAGCAGCTCTACCAAGACGGAAACAGGGCTACGTACATGTAGTTGGCACTCTGTGGCTAATTTCAAAGGAATAAAACAATGAACCTTTTGGCTGTCGTTGAATAGAGTTGCTTCATGTGACGTTTCTTTCAGGAGCTGTTTTGATAACCTGTGGGGGAAAATGGCACAGCATGAAATCGGAAGAATCGAAACTAGAGGGGGTGTGGAATTTAACTTGCTACAATTATGAAAATAAAACACTGAAACAGCTTGCTGTTGTCAACAGTATATGTGAAAATAGTAAGGATACCAGCGATACCGAAGTTTATAAGGGTACATGTAACTCACTGCTTACATGTATGTGATATGCAAGGACAAGGTAATGTGCATTCTTATAGACTGGCCATATCACCATTCTGGGCCAATGAAAATACAGTTTTCAAGGTTGTGATGTAAGCTTGGTGACCTTGGTGACCTACACTGACCCTGCTTTTGCTGTAACCATCAAAACGGTCAAAAATGTCTTCTATTTCTCCTTGTACAGCACATTCACATATCACATATGTCACTGGACTGATTTTGACTGATAGGACTGCTTTGTCAAGAATGCATCTTTGCACAGGAGGGTAAATAAGAAGCATAATACTTGCACAAGTATACCTACTTGCGAAAATGCACTCTGATAGTGGACAGTTCTATCAAATGACATGAGCATCAGACAATTTCTACTCAGAAACAAAACAAATAATACATAATCTTAATACATTTGTCTCGATGAAACAAAGTCTCTGATTTTTGTCTTTACATTTGATATTCATCAACAGCTTCCACCAGCTGGCCCCATGAATCATGACCGGTCCCCCGCGTCAGTGATGCCCTCCATCGAGCTACCAGCTTGTGCTTATCTCCCATGATGCTTTGCTACACATCGAACGACGGTTTGGTTACAACTTGGCACACGGAATTTCTGTGGAAAGGGAAAAAATGAGCTGTGTAAATTTTCATGAAGTAATTACGGACTGTATAGACACTGCAAAGATGTTATACATGTAGCACCCTCATATGAATTGTGTATAACTAATCAATAAAATAATCAATAAATCGATATACATGTACTGTACAAGGTAGACAAATGGCAGGCTCATAAAGTTCATTACACCCATACCTTTGTCAGCCTTTGCCTACCCTATTCAAAACAGGCTTAAATTTCACATCAGACTGCTGGACCATACCCACTGAATTTGGTGAATTTCCATATATCAAGAGCATTAGTGAGGTTGCAGTTACTCGATCTTGGCGGCACTAGCATAATTCTTATTTAATCAAGTGATCCGGAACTGTTAATGATCTGAAAAATGTTGCACATACAGTGTCTCCATGAAGTGGTGTGGCATGCTTGCTTCAGAACTATTCCATAAATGTCAATAGTTACCACCAGCAACTGTCAGGTTCAGTGACATAGGGTTAATTCCTTCTAAAATAATTGGTTCTCTATGAAAATATTGGGTGTCAAAAGAAAAGGCAATGGAAAGCGTTCCATACATGGACATCACTTGACTCCTTGCAAGCCTTGTGCACAAACCTGAAGAAACTAGTCTGAAAAGTGTAACTAGTTTCCAAGTACATGTACATGCTTCAATATTTCCTTGCTAAACTTGACTTCTTTCACTTTTAGGACATGGTACCACCTTCTGATGGTTGTTTTATCACTGCAGGAAAAAATACAGGTACTGTTACAGAAGTTACACAGATTTCTGTCTACTTTCAGGAACCAGACCAGTCTACAACGAATGGATCTTGGATTTCATTTCCCTCAAGGGGAATCCTCCAGGGGTATGAATCTACCAAAAAAGAAATGAAAAACATGTATAGAAAGTGAACATGCGATCCAATTGAAAAAAAATGAAGGAAATGAAGAAGGAAAGAAAAAAGAAAATGAATCCTATCATGAGTAGGCTCGAACCTAGCACATCGACACTGCACAGCCACATGGGTATCGCCTGTGCCATCACAATGCCATGAAATTTATGAATTATGGTAATTGTGCAATGCCGTAATAGAACTTCCATTACCGTTACCATAACAACAGCAACTTTGAAATTATTAATGTCAAGCACAATCTTTAACCTTGTGCAAATTTACTGCTCTCCCTTTGAGTTGATTATCCTGTGAAGAGTTGTTATTCAAAGGCAAATCAACTCAGGATGGAATACAATGAATTTGTGCAAGGTTCAAGATTCTGCTCAACGTTAGTATCCACGGATGGAATTCTTTCCAAGTGGTAAATTTTTGCTACAACGCCACTTGGTCACAGAAAATCCAAACACAGGTAGGAAGTACAAAGGCTTGTTGGGAATACTGTGAATGTGATCCAGTACTGTCACCATGGTTGCCACAGCTGTATGGTGTTCTCAAGCGGACAGGCAAACGTCATGTTTGTGAGTTGGAACATCGTGAGTGTGAGTTGGAACGTTGTGTTAGTAAATTGTAAACACTGTGTGTGTCTGGGAAGCGGACTAGTGTAGACAGTACTGCGTGTAGTCTACACTACCAGGCACTGGGTCAATAAACAACTGATGGAGCCTGAAAGTAAAAGGTCATGCAGCGAGCTTCCGGAACCCTCGCGCGGTCCTCCTCTGGGGATTTTACATTGGGCCATCCTATCACATTCGATAATTTTTGGAAGAATAATTCCTGATTAATAATACAGAACACTTATAATGTACCGGTATCTGCCAAAAACTGATGCTCATGGTGCAATAAAAAAAAACAAAATGATACTGAAACCATCCCCTGAAACACTTGTGTTGGAAAATACTTGGGAAAAGTCACCTAGAGATGGGTAAAAAACAAATTTCGTTAACGACCCTTCACGCCCGGCGATATCGCACCTACATGTAGGTCTCCTTGTTCGTGCACGTTTGTTTTTACTTCCCATGCTTACATGAAAACGAGATTGTTAAACATTGCAAAGATTTAACTACCTGTAGTCGATGGGTTCCATATTCCGCTGATTTGACATAACGCAGTTGTTGTCAGCAAAGGTTAAATAAAATATATTAGAATCTTTCGAAAAAGTAGATTATTGCTTTAAGTTTATTACCTTATAAATCAAGAAAAGGCTTTTGAAATATTTTGATCTGTTTTTATGTCAGCTTTTACCACCAGACTGCCAAAAAATTTCAAACTGTAAATGTTCATCAGCATACGAGACAGCCACATTGGACTGTTCTTTATGGATTTCAGATTTTCGGAAGTGATGGGTAAATTTTTGGCAGGATATTTCTCTTTTAAGTCAATTAATTTCTCAGTTTCTATAAATTGATATACTAGCAAATATTTCCCAAGCCCTTTTTCCGAGTTGGACTTCTGAAAAAACTGAATGGAAAAATATTATTAAATATAATTTTTCCTATCCAGGGGTTCTGGAAGTGCGCCATCAGGGGTCAACTTTCAGGCTCTATTTCATGAAGCTACTAAGCACAAAAGTTTGCTTAGTACCGTACTATCGTCTTGCTCACAACAAACTAGATTACCAACCAAAAATCCATGTCATTTCTATGATAAGCGAACACCAGCTGAACACCAGTCACCAGGTCACAAGCAAATACAACACAAGAACATTTGGGTTGGTAATCCTGTTTTAATCAAGGGAAAATAATCCATGATATTGGCCCTGATTACTCATAAACATGACGCTCAAACTCTGAGGCATGGACTAGTTTAGTTAAATGTACATGTAGGCCCTCTATATCAAGTAATGTAGGAATTGTTATCACCATATAAACCATCCCTCCTTCCTCCATGTATAAACTAATGCAAAGGAAAACTAGTGATATCCGTAGATGGAACTCTTGCAAAAATGTTGAAAACGTTTATCGAACTCACAATAACTTTGCTCATCAGCTTCGAAAGATTTCCTTGTTGAAATTTATCTGGGCCTTGCACTTTTTCAGTAAGTCTGAGGCTGATATTGGTAGCGCGCCACCAAGTGATGAAAATTCGCCAGTTCGCTAAGAAGTTTGGCGCCGCGCCCCTCCGACGAAGGCGAGGGCGCCCTCCTCCTCGAGGCGCGGTGCGTCGGACGGCACGCCGGAGAGCCCCTGAGCGGCTAGGGACGAGTCCGTTGGGACCGAAGTATACCGTTCCCCAAGAAAGTTGGTCTTCGTCGAGATGATGA